AGAATGCAGTATTGCAAGCTGACTCTGTCCACTGCCAGGAGTTCGATCCTGACTGGCTTAAGGTTGACTCAGCCTTCCATCCTTCTGAGGTCGGTAAAATGAGGACCCAGATTGTTGGGGGCAAGAGGCTGACTCTGTAAACCACTTAGAGAGGGCTGTAAAAGCACTATGAAGCGGTATATAAGTCTTAAGTGCTATTGTTATTACTATTTTATAGCAGACCTCTGGCAGTTCAAGGCAGAATTCGTAGGGGTCTAGTCATATTTTTATCCCTACAGGAAGTAGCCCTGAGAGAGTGATTCTGATGGTCCCCAGATCGCCTGAGCTTTCATGGGTGAGGATGAATCAATCTGGCTCTCCCCTAATTAAGTCAATAAAGATGATAAGAGGTCTGGAGCAGGGGTAGGTTCTACTTACCTTTACTACCGGTTTGCAATGGGATCGTATGTGAGCGCGCTCGCTTTGCTCGCGCCTGCGCCTTGCTTATGCGCACGCGCAGATCGCTTCTGATGACGTCAGGGTCAGTGGACGGAGCCTCCCGCTGGTTTTACTACCGGTTCTATAGAACCGGTCCAAACCGGGGGCAACCCACCACTGGTCTGGAGGCTAAATCAATATGAAGAGTGGCCAAGGCAGGGGTCTGCAACCTTAAACACTCAAAGAGCCATTTGGACCCGTTTCCCAGAGAAAAGAAAACAACGGGAGCCACAAAACCCTTCCTGTGCCTGACTATTTCTTGAGCGGCCACAAAAGTAGCGTATGTAGTTGAATTAAACGTTCTGTTTTCTTCTGAATTTTTCTTTTCTTGGATTTATCCATGGTTGGCCTACCAGGGGTTGAAAAGCTCAATAAATTGCGTGCTGGCGGGTGTCGCACATTGGCAGTTGTGACACATATTTTGAGTGACAGGGAGTCGCAGCAGACGGGTGAAAGAGCCACATGCGGCTCCAGAGCCACAGGTTGCTGACCCCTGGGCTAAGGGAACTGGTATGTTTAGCTTATTGAAAAGAAGAACTAGGGCAATATCATTGCGGTCTTCTTCTATGATAGCAGACTGTAGGTGTCCCAGAAATTCAGTCAATAGCTAGGAAGAATTAGAGGGGACATGATGACAGCTGTGTCTCAGTACTTGAGGGGCTATCACAGAGAAGAAGGTTGACAACCTATTCTCCAAAGCACCTGAGGGCAGGACAAGAAGTAATGGATGATGGAAACTTATCAAGGAGAGATCCAATCTAGAATTAAGGAGAAATTTCCAGACAGTGAGACAAATTAATCAGTGGAACGGCTTGCTTTCAGAAGTTGTGGGGGATCCATCACTGGTGGATTTCAAGAAAAGACCAGATAACTATCTGTCCGAAATGGTATTTCTCCTTCTCAAGCAGGGTACCAGACTAGAAGACCTCCAAGAGGTCGTCTTTCAATCTTTTTATTCTGTGTTCCATGTTCTAGTCCCACTGTTGAACTACCCTTGGTGTGCTTTCTTCTTTCATTTCTCACCTTGTCAACTTGTGGAATTTAACAAGTCCACACATCTTCAAGCTGTCAAGATTGAGAAATGCTAAATTTAATATTTTACAGAAGACTCACAAACAGCACGGATTAATCCCACGAAGGGACTAAACAAGTAACGCAAAAACAAGTGAACAAAACAGGTTAAAAATGTCCAGGAAGTTATCCTTTTTGTTTATGTTTATGTTTATTGTCTTTGTATACAGCCCTTCTCCCGAAGGACTCGGGGCGGTGAACAGCCAGCAGATAAAATACAGAAAATACAAAATTTAAAACAATATTAAAATCGAATTAAATTAATTTGGCCCACAGTTAAAACACCCTTATATTAAAACCCATAATTTAACAATTTAAAATTAAAACAATTAAAAAAGTTAGGTCAGGTCAGCCTGGCTTGATGAAACAGAAACTTCTTTAAGGCACGGCGGAAAGTGCGCAGATCCGGGATCCGCCGTATCTCCGGGGGCAACTCGTTCCAGAGGGTAGGTGCCCCCACAGAGAAGGCTCTCCCCCTGGGGGCCGCCAGCCGACATTGTTTTCCAGCATGCCATCGGTTAATTATGAATAATTGAATATATTGCTCTGGGAAACTAAATCGGAATTTCTAGCAAGGATAAATCTCACGAATATTATATTTTTTAACATTGCAATTGTCCTTTTTAAGTCTGTGGGAAGTTATAGCCAACCAATATATTTTATAAAGAAAATAAATAACTGTTTTAATCTGTGTTTTTTTTTACTTTGCTTTTAACAATGATGTTTACATGATTTTACTGATTTATTTGAATCATGCAAGTGCGATGGGCAGTATAGAAATTTGTTAAACAAATAAACCCAGTCAACACATCATAAAATACTAAATTCAAGCTATAAACTGCAACGGTTTGAGTCAAAGTGGGAAACCTATTCTGATTGACGTATCTTCCTGTAAATCTCATTAATTCCTGACGGCTTTTACCTTTTATCTTAACTGTTCTAAATCTGCTCTTAGATTCCATTTATGTCTTGATTCTAATCGTTTCCAGTTATTCAGAAATATCCCCTTTGGGTTTTCTTTATGCCTTTCTGCTGTTCTTTTCGGTTTAAAAGCTATATTTAGGAAAACAGACCGTTCAGTTTGGCTAAGAAGAAGAAACAGTTTGTAATCTGCTGCTCAGACCAAACCTTGAGATGTGCGAACTGCTGGTTATCTGCTCTTTCTCCCACACATTCCTGGGGTTTCTTTCCCAGGGGAAGCTGGGAGTGTTTTAAGAAGGACACAGGACTTGCCTCTTAGCATAGTTGCAATGATCTCTTGGGCCCACCAAGGCCTGGAGAAGTGAGAGGTTGATGGGGGATGTGGAATGCGGAACAGAACAGAACAGAACAGAACAGAACAGAACAGAACAGAGAATAGGATATGGAGTGGAGTGGGATAGGAGAGGATAGGATGTGGAGGAATGGAATGGAATAGAATAGCATAGCATTACATAGAATAGAACAGAGAATAGAATATAGAATGGAATGGAATGGAATAGAAGAGAAGAGAAAAGAAGAGAAAAGAAGAGAATAGAATTCTTTCTTGGCCAAGTGTGATTGGACACACAAGGAATTTGTCTTTGGTGCATATGCTCTCAGTGTACATAAAATGGTAGGACTAGAACTCACCATCTCCTGGTAATTGGCCCAAAGTCACCCAGCTGGCTTTCATGCCTAAATCAGGACTAGAACTCACAGGCTCCTGGTTTCTAGCCCTATGCCTTGACCACTAGACTATTCCTGCTTCTCCGCACAGCAAATAGATCAGGATGAACGCACAATTGATCCCACCAAGACATATGAAAAAATAATAATAATGGAGTACAGCTCCTCATTTCAGGGCTGGAAAATCCTTTTTTTTTTTTTTGGTTTCTTTTTCTCATCAAAATAAATGAAACCCAGTCTGCCTGTGACTTCTGTCTGGCGTGCCGTCGTTGTCCTGGTTCATTTCAGATTTTAATTGTCTCCAAATTGGGCTGCTTGAGCAGGATTTGGTTGCAACTTAGTGGAAACCTTCCTTGTCTTAACTGGGAAAGGCAAGATGAATAACAATGACTGGAAACGATTCCTTCGCCTGTTTCTGCTTAAACTACTCAACTTCATCTGGACCAGGGTGGTCATTCCGTGCACGGCTGACTCAGGCCCCAAATGGGGAAACCATTCCTTGGCATTTTAAGTTCTTAAAAAGAAAAATGCGGTTTGCATTAATCTCTTGCCACACATCGGATGCTGGGTACTGAAGATTTCACACTGCTTGCTTCCTTCCCTTAATAAAAATAAATAAATACAGGGGGTCTCCAGCTCGTTTTGATGCAAGAATTATGGTGCAGGTTTTATGCAGGTTTTTTGTGCAGAGGGTTTCCCCCTTATTTCTCAGGGGGGAAACCGAGCCTCAATGCTCACCCCCTTTTGCCAACATTTCAATGGTGATGCCGTTGAGAGAAGGAGAAACCCTGGTAGGTTGGGGCTGGGCTGCTGGCTGCAATTTAGTCTGTGCTGCGGCTAACAGCAGCTAAACAGCCTTATTTGGAAGTGGTCTGGAATATATTATTTTGTTTTGAAATGAGCTTCAAATTTTAATCCAGAAAAAAAAAAAGAAGAAAAAAAGAGAAAATGTCAGGCGCGAACGACCAGGTCCGCACATGAAGGTTCAATTAAAAGACTGATTTATTGCTAAAGCCTGTGCAACAGGAATCTTCTCAGCTAACGGTGGACACCTGGTTAGATAAGGGCCAATGGCATTCAAAGGGTGCTGGACCTAATTTGCTTGTGACTACGTAAGGATGCTAGGCTGATTCCCCCTTTTCATTCCACCCCCAGGTTGGCCAGCTCTTCTCCTACAGAAAAAGAAAGTTAATGAACTGAAGTTTTTGAAATGTAACTGTACCTACTCAAGTTCTGGGCTAAAATAAAATATAAATATACTGTACAGGTGGGTTCTTGACTCACAACTGGTCTCCTAGCAACGGTTTAAAATTAGGAACAATCCGTAAAAGAAACTTACGACCCAGATTGGAAGTTTTGATGGTTCCCCCGTATGATCAAGTGATCACCATGATCATATGGGGGAACATCGAAAGGTTGGCAGTTCAGCGGTTCGAATCCCTAGTGCCACGTAACGGGGTGAGCTCCCTTTACTTGTCCCGGCTTCTGCCAACCTAGCAGTTCGAAAGCACGTAAAAAAAATGCAAGTAGAAAAATAGGGACCACCTTTGGTGGGAAGGTAACAGCGTTCCGTGCGTCTTTGGCGTTGAGTCATTCCGGCCACATGACCACAGAGACGTCTTCGGACAGCGCTGGCTCTTCGGCTTTGAAACGGAGATGAGCACCGCCCCCCTAGAGTCAGGAACGACTAGCACATATGTACGAGGGGAACCTTTACCTTTACCTTTTAGCATCCCATGGGTGACCCAATTATAAACCATGAAAATAATTGACAAGTTCTTCCATTTTCAACCATTCTTTTGCAGAAACACTGTGATGGGATTTTAATTCCAGGATTGCAGATGCTCCCAGAAGACCCACATTTTCAAGAAGAGTGTCTTGCAGAAGATCACAGTTGCCACGTTAAGCCTTTGCTAGATCCCTCAACCCAAGACCAGATCTCCCAGGATGCTCTTCTACCTTCTTTCTGCCTTCTTCCAGCTCCAAGGTAACATAAACACTCTTAATTTTATTTTCTCCATTCATGGAGAATCAGAATCTCTTACCTCATCTCTTCTACAGTGAATTTATCATGATATACACCCCTCTTGCTAAACCTGGTAACTCCCAGTATCTTTGGACTACAAGTCCCATCATGTATGGTTAATGCCTTTGCTGATGGTAGGTGAAGGAATAGAATTAATAGTGGGAAAATATCTGTAAGAGATGACCAGGCTGAGCTCGAGGGAGGGGTCAAACACACCATCAGTCTGGAGTCCCTTCATGGTCACAAGAGTCCACCCTTCCTTGAATTCCGTTGATTCTTATCTACCACCAATTTGCTTTGACTGTTAGTAGTTCAGATTCTTGTAGAAAATGTTGGCATGCAATAAACTGTATTGTTTCGAACCGCCTTGGCTCCTGACAATACCTTTGCTATTAATCTGCAGCGTTAAAAACTCCTGTAAGATTGCAGAGAGGAGCAACAAGAATAATTAGGGGGCTGGAGGCTAAAACATCTGAAAAACAGTTACAGGAATTAGGTATGTCTAGTCTTAATGAAAAGAACGTCTAGGTAAGACATGATAGCAGTGTTCCAATATTTGATGGGCTCCTACAAAGACGAGCAGGGTCAAACTATTTCCCAAAGCACCAAAAGGAAAGATGAGGAACCATGGATGGAAACTAACCAAGGAGAAAAGCAACCTAGAACTAGGGAGAAATTTCCTAACATTGAGAACAATCAAACGATGGAATGATTGTCTTCAGAACTTGTGGGTGCTCCATCACTGGAGGCTTTCAAAAGGAGTTTGGACAATCTTGTATCTGAAATGATATAGGGTCTCCTGCTTGAGGAGGGGATTGGACTAGAAGGCCCCCAAAGTCCCTTCCAACTCTATTATTCTATGTCAACGGAGAGTTCTTCCAAAAGGTTGGTTTCTTCTTTCACCAATGTGGCAATCTTACGCAACCTCTTTCTTTTCCCCCCTTGGTTGGATTTCGGAGGCGGGGAGGGGTGGGAATAGTCGCAAATCTGCTTCTCTCCTTCTCTGAAATGAACTTCATGAAACATAGTGATTGTCCGTGGTGAATACAATGCAGTATTGCAGGCTGACTCTGCCGACTGCCAGCAGTTCGATCCTGACCGGCTCACAGTGGACTCAGCCTTCCATCCTTCCCAGGTTGGTAAAATGAGGACTCAGATTGTTGGGCGCAAAATGCTGACTCCGTAAACTGCTCAGAGAGGGCTGCAAAACACGCTGAAGCGCTATATCTATCTATCTATCTATCTATCTATCTATCTATCTATCTATCTATCTATCTATTGGTTCAATTCATATGCCGCCCTTCTCCGGAGACTCAGGGCAGCTTACAATGTGTTAAGCAATAGCCTTCATACTTTTGTATATACCTGCTTAGTAGGGCTTTGGCCCCCCCCAAACGGTGTTCTTTTTTATACAAAGTCAGCTTATTGCCCCCACAATCCGGGTCCTCATTTTACCTACCTTAGAAAGGATGGAAGGCTGAGTCAACATTGAGCCTGGTGAGATTTGAACTTGCAGTAATTGCAGGCAGCTGGTGTTACTTAACAGTACTTAACAGTACTTTAGTCTGCTGCGCCACCAGGGCTCTATATAAGTCTAAGTGCTATTGCTATTGCACCTCATACAAGAAGTCCTTGATCACAAAAGGCTCCAGAATTTCTGTTGCTAAGCCTTGCGTAAGTGAGCCACACCCAATGTTATTGCCTTTTTGGCCATTGTGACTTTTCAACGGTCACTGAACAAATGGTTGTAAGTCAAGGACTACCTGTAGAATTTCCCTGAGTATTTTTTTCTGCTTTTCTGGAATGAACGCTTCTCTGTTTTCGTAGCATTAACTGCAAAAACTCGTAGATCTTAGGGTAGATCCCTCAGATCAGCGGTGAAATCCGGCCAGATCTATCTGGCTCACGCGAACCGGTAGTGCCGGTGGCGGGAGGCTCCGCCCACCTGCCAGGACGTCATTACATCCCGTTTTTGACCCTCTGCGCATGCGCAGAAGAGGCCCACGCTCACATTCCTGAACCAGTAGTGAAGGTAAGTGCATTTCACCGCTGCCTCAGATCCTAATTCTTTGCTTTTCTCTTTTGCGGGGGTGCGGTCCAGGCGTGCATGGGGTGAGCAGCTACAAGGAGGACTTCCGCTTCTGTGCTGATCGAAGACAAACGGTTGAAGGCCACATCCGTTATGAAACCCAGCGGGACGCCATTACTATCTCCAATGGAGCTGACGGACTTAATATCAGTGCCCCGTTTCCACCGGGACCTCAGCAATCCTGGGCCTTGCCTTCGCTGTTGGGGCCTTACCGCTTCTGCGTTTACTGGTTTCAGAATGACCATCTGTTCAATCTTACCTATGGCATCAGTCATACTTACCAGCTGAGTAACCAAGCTAATTATTCATTCTCCTCTCTAAATGTCACCTGCTGGGGGAGCAAAGATGGGCCCGATTTACTCAGCAACATCTCCTACTACTTCAGCAACGGCCCTGACAATCGCTCCCTTTCGAGTATGACGGGATACAAGTGCTTCTTAGGTAAGTTGCATCAGAACGGGATGGAAAGCGAAAGGCAATATAACATTTGCATTCACTGTTGAACATTACAGATAGTCCTCGACTTAGAACTGTTTGCTTAGTGACCGTTGGAAGTTACAACGGCACTAAAAAAAGCACTTGTGACCATTGCAGCATCCTCATGTCATGTGATCAAAATTCAGACACTTGGGAACTGACCCATATTTATGACGGTTCACGTATCCCGGGGTCATGTGAGATCCCCTTTTGCAACTTTCCGACAAGCAAGGTCAATGGGGAAGCCCAATTCACTTAACAACCGTGTTATTAACTTAACAACTGCAGTGATTCACTTAACAAATTGTCAAGAAAGGTGGTAAAATGGGGCAAAACTCACTTAACAACGGTCTCGCTTAGCAACTGGAAATTTAGGGCTCAGTTGTGGTCGTAAGTCGAGAACTATCTATACTTGGCTGTAGAAAACTTGTATTGTTTTCACAGGTAAAAAAATACGTTCGTTTAATTTGTTGTGCTTAGTAGGTTGTGTGAATGCAGCTCCCGGAGGTTACTTGCTTGCTTGTTCGTTGGATTTTTATGGCTGCTCATCTCACCGTAATCACTTGGGAGACTCACAATATTAAAAAGAATAATAGATTGTGTCAGAGTGTTTTCAGTGACGCCATTAGAGGGCGTCTCTCTCTTCCCTTGTGTATTTGCATTGTAGTTCTCTGTGTAGAGTTGAAGAATGATTGCTTGTCTGGTATGTGCCAGGAGTGGGTTCTAAATTTTTTTACTACTGATTCTGTGGGCATGGCTTATTTTGTGGGCGTGGTTTGATGGTCATGTGACGATTCTTTAGGATTTAGCAGAGGTACTGGTCTACCAGGCTTTTAACTGCTTGCAGAGCTGTACTGGTTTACCCATTTGTTTTTGGAGGCACCGGTCTACCCATTTGTTTTTGGAGGCACCGGTCTACCACCACACTGCCTTTTAACACTGATCAGCTGTAGGGCGGCCCTTTGAACCCCCGCGGCAAGAGTTTAAACAGTTTTTTCTCTTCTAGCCGATCAGCTGGGACTCGGGAGGCAGCAAATAGATTGGGGGCGGGGCCAAATAAAAGGTAAGAATAACGCGCGGGGGGTGGGTGGGTGGGAGGGCCCAGCTCCTGAACAAAGAGAACCGATTCGGTGATGTCATAACGTCACCGCTACTGGCTCTGTCGAACCGGACCAAACTGGGAGGAACCCACCACTGGTATGTGCCTACCACTTGTACGTCTGTATATAGAAGTCTTGTATATAAACCACTGTTTGTAAAACAAACCTCTGTGTACTGTATTTTGCTCCTGGGTTGTCTCAAACTATAGTAGTCATGCTGTGCACACTCTGACAGATTGCTTAGCCTCTCATATCTACTGTGCACATTCAGAGAAGCAGATTGGAACAAATGATCAAAACGGTACAAAATCTCAAACGTTTGCACAGTTTATTCCGCCTTAGTCATAGTCGGGGTTAAATATTTTATCAGACACTGCAGGGTGCAACCCTGGGAATTAAAACCGTTCTTAAAAAACCAACAACTAACGGCTACAGTTGTCAAGATGTTGATTACTATTTTTTTTAGCCAATGCCGTTTCCTACCGTTTCAGGAAATGAGCGTGAGCACTAGAAAGCTTGAATTCCACCTAGCAGGAACTGGAGTGGGATAACTCACTATAGCCAACTCACCGCTGCCAATTTGCAATGGTCAACTTGCCACGGCCGGTTTACCGCGGCCAACTTGCCACAGGATAAGTTGCCACAGGACAAAAATTACATGAAATCGAAGAAATGGTGAAATGGAATCATTAAATAAAAAAATTTGCAAAAGGAGGGACAAAATGAAACGCGAATGACCAGCATTAAAATAATTTCTTAATTATTTTAAATCATGAAATAAAATGGTTGAATTGTCCTGCGGCGAGTTTCTTCTGGGCAAACTGGCCATGGTGAATTATCCCGTGACGAGCTGGCATTGGTGGTGGGTTATCCCAGGAACAGCCAAACAATGAGGTCCTTTTATTTGACTTTGCTGGTTTGCTTTGCTCTTTAGATTTTGGGAAAAGAGACCAAAAGGAAACAGTTCAAATCAGCAACGTGGAAGAAGAAATGAGACGAACAGAGTTAAAACTGAAGAGCTTAGAAACACGCCTTAGCGGTGACGAAGACGGGCCTCCGGAAGATCCATTTTTGTGAGTATTTGGCAGCCAACCTACATTCTTATTCATTTATATTTTAAAAAATTAGGCACTGTGTATTGGCTGCAAAAAGGAGTGAGATGGAGCCGGGTGATTCGAGGTATGCTTTCAGTGGTGGGATTAAAATAATTTAACAACTGGTTCTCTGCCCTAATGATCAGCTGGGTGGGTGTGGCCACGGTGGGCGTGGCCACAGTGGGCGAGGCCAGGAGTGTGACAGGCAACACTCGGCCTCCTGCACCACCCTGGGAGCAAAAATTGGCTGGGGGAGGATGCACCAGCCGCATCCCGTTTTGGGCCTAGTAGGCCTCCCTGCAGCCTCCTAGGAGTGAAAACGGGCCGTGGGGGGACACCCCCCTGCACCCCGTTTTGGGCCTAGTAGGTCTCCTGGGCACAAAAATGGGCCACGGGGGGCACGCCGCACTCCCCATGCCCCATTTTGGGCCTAGTAGACCTCCCTGCACTTACCTGGGAGCCAAAATGGGGCGCTCAGTTACGGTCGTAAGTACAGATAGCCCTCGACTTACAACCGCAACCGAAGCCAAAATGTTCATTGCTAAGTAAGAGATAGCTAAGTTGTTGAGTGAAAATGGTCGTAAGTCACTTTCTTCAGGGCCGTTGTGACTTCAAATGGTCACTAAATGAATGGTTGTAAGTCAAGGGCTACCAGTATACCATGAGACTACCTTTATATTGCAAAGTAAGAAGAGATATTTTATCTCTTCTTACTTTGTACTTCTTACAAACCAGGTTTGAAATAGGAGCTGCGTATGAATCAAATGCACAGATGTTTGGACCTTCTGACTGATGGATTGGAAAACTCAGAGATGGCTTAAGAGCAAATTCTTGCACAGTCTTGAGGACCAAACAAGCTGTGATTCGCATGTTGTGTTTAATTATGGTTTGCCTGAATCATGAATGGTCGAAGCATTGACAGCCAGATTCACACAGAAACCTAAGCTGTGATTTATGAATCACAAGAGCTGGGTCCATCCTTCTCGGTTAGCCCAGATATATGATGGTTCAATGTAGTGGGTGATTTTGGTCACGGATGAGCTAATGAAGACTCCAGAACTGGGGTCGGCAACCTTAAACACTCAAAGAGCCACAAAGGTCCTAACCGGAAGACTCCCTCCCCCGGTTCAATTCTGGAGCCAACCGGAAGTCCGGTTCCCCCACCATAGAGTCTCCTCCTAGCGTGGTGTCCTTTTTCCTCTACTTGCCCTAACCGAAAGCCCTATTAATTGTGGAGGTGACCGGAAAACCTGCCCCTTACCATAGAGTCTCCTCCTGGCACACCGTCCTTTTCCCCCCAACTGGAAGCTCCTCTCAAAATTCTGGCAGCGACCGGGAGCTGCAGCAGAGGGACGAAAGAGCCACATGCGGCTCCAGAGCCGTGGGTTGCCGACCCCTGCCCCAGAAGTAGCATCTGGAGACCTGTGGAATGATGTCTGGAGCAAAATATTTCCAGCTACATCCAGTTCTCCCATCCTCAACAGGTTCTTGCACCAGTTGGAGTCGAAGCTGGGCGAACTGCAGTTCCAGGAAGATAATAAGACTTTTGAGGGGACAGTAATGCATGCAAATATCCAGAAAGTCTCACCCGATATTTCTGAAAACCTGCCCATTGAGGTTTCACTGAAGGTGAGTCGAGCATCAAAATGATGTCTGTCAAATTCCACTTTGCTCTGTTTTCTCTTTTTCTCTTGCACATTTGCACTGCCCCGTTTTAGTCATCAGTTTGCAATGAAAGAATGTGTCTGCAAGACAACCTGAATGCATTTCCGTGGTTATTTATTATTACCATCTGTGCCTTGAAAACAAGTCCATTTTAAATCTCTCTCTTCCTGCATCTCTTTTTTTTTTAAATTATGTATTTATTTTTATTCATAAACATTTTGAATACAGTGCGTTGTCAGGGTATATCATTGTTCTGCCCCAGCTACAGACCCCAAAGAACACAGCACACACAAAGTCTGTTCAAACCTTAGTTTACTAAATAAACCAGTCTTTTACAACAACGGCTGTTAATTAACTGCATTAACAGCCGCCAAGAATTCAAAGAATAATAACTAAAAGCTTACTGTGGTTGGCAGAATGCCCGGAAGCAATTTGCAGGAAGCTGATAAGATAAGCAAGACAAGACATGAAGGTATGTGAACTAAGTTGTTCCCTGCAAATTGCTTCAGTCGGCATTCCTCCTTAAATAGGCTAAGGGAGTGGCCAATTAGCCCCAAGACTTACTCTCGAGGAGACCTCCTCCTGAGGAGACACTCCTGCCTTTTGGTAGCTCTGCGTGCCTGTGCATCGAGAAGAGGCTCCTCTTCTTCGTCCTCTTCACTTATGGGAGCTTCTGGAGGTTCTGAAGGCCCTGGCTGAATCCTCGCCTCTGGCACCACATCTTCTCCAGCCTCCTCATTGTCTGACTCGAGTGCCAGTTGCACAGGCTGCTGGCGCAGCACCACACCAGCCTTGCTGTCGGAATCAGCTACTAGCTGCACAGGCCGCGTACGGGCCACAACAATCATTTATAAAAGAAAAATAAAGAAAAGACAAAAAAAGAAATATTAACACATATACTGGTAACAATAGTAATAGTATAACAGAATAGTTTTGGCTAAATTTCTCTTCATATTTATAATTCTGTTAATTATATCGGCACATTTATCATTATAAACCATCTTTATACTTAATTCATATGTAGCAATAATCTTTCTTCATCTAATTTCTACCTCTTATCTCTAACCACTCATAAAAATCTATTCCATATCAAGTAATATTCTGTGTCTTCTTTGTCTTTTATTTTTAAAGTCAGTCTGTCCATCTTAGCACAATTGTAACATTTTCCGAATTACATCCCCATCTGATGGGAGTGTTCTCATTTTTCCAATATTTTGCAAATACAATCCTTGTTGCTGTTAGGACATGCAAAACTAGATATGTAGTCCCTTCGTCATAACCCTTCGGCATTATACCCAACATGCATCTCTTAATAAAGACGTCTAGGTAGGTTGGGGAACCATTATGAATTCTCTGCCCTACAAAGTAAGATTTCCTACTTCTCTTTTGTAAAGCTTTGCTCGTTTTCTTTCTGCAGGAGAACAAAATCATCCGTAAATTTAAAGTTAACCTGCCCAAAAAAGTGTTTGAGAAAACCAGAGACGGCTTCAAGAGTGGGGAAATGAAGGTTGTGGTTTTGTCGGCTACAAGTGAGACCCTCTTTAAGGTAAATGATTGTGGGGGAGGGGAGAATGTTTGTTGCCCTTGGCACAGATTCCTTTGCATATTTAAAAAGTAAAGCAATTACTGCAGGTTTGTATCTCGCCAGGCTCAAGGTTGACTCAGCCTTCCATCCTTTCTAAGGTAGGTAAATTGAGGACCCAGTTGTGGGGGCAATAAGCTGACTTTGTATAAATATACAAAAGGATGAAGGCTATTGCTTAACGCATTGTAAGCCGCCCTGAGTCTCCGGAGAAGGGCGGCATATAAATCAAATTAAAAAAAAAAAAGTAAAGCATTGGGTGGAACTTAGGAAATGAATTTATTTTGACTGAGTGGTGCGCCGAGAGCAGCTGATGTTCAAAGCAAGTTCAGAGCAGATGTTTTTAGGCTGTTGAAGGTTCCTTCAAGTCAGTCATTAACTTTTCTGCATCAAATAAAAGCGAACAGCTGCATTAAAAGTGTTTCAGTCTAAAATCAGAGAAAACATACATCTCCTCGTTTCAGAATCTGCACCCAAAACTATGAAATGTTTAGCAGCACATGCTGGAATCTATTTGCTTTTTGGGGGTTGTGTGGTATTCTTTTTTTCCATGTCAGATGGAAACCTCATCTATTACGAAACCGAGCAGGTTTTTTTTTTCACTCACATCAGCAAAATTAGGCTTTTAGGAAAGCGTTTGTTGCAAAGTTCACAGCTGGTGCAAGAACCCCCGTTTGAGAAATGTTTGCTCAGAAGGTAAACTCTTCTTCAACTTGAGTGAGCTCAAGTCCTGAATGTGTTATAGCTTTGTTGTTGTTGCTGTTTTCTTTTGCAACCTTTTCCCCCCCGAGTTCCTAGTCTACCTTGGAATTCTGAGACTCCTTGGTTGTTTCCCATCCAAATTCTGAACGGAGCAGACCCAGCTTAACTTCCCAGATCAGATAGGTCTAACTAGGGGTGGGCTTCAAAAATTTTAGCAAAGGGATCTCTGCCTGGTTGCTGGGTGGGCGTGGCCATGGTGGGTGTGGCCTAGTCAGCCTCCTGCATCACGGCGGGGAGGGGACATTTTTGCCCTCCCCGGGCTCTGGAGGCTTTCCTCTGTCACTGCGTTTTTGTATTTACCAGATGAGCTCTTATTTTTGAACTTTCAGACTTACCGTAGCTTGCCAAGTTCTTCTCTAAGCTAACTGCGCATGTCCACATTCTTTCACTTTCTTCTCTTTCTTTGTTCTCCGGCCAGGAGAGGTGGCCGGGAAAACTTTGCCAAGATGTAATTAATTAACTAGTAAGATGTTTTATTTTCTTTATAACAAATAAATGAGTTTTTCTTAGAAAATATATCTTCGGGTTTATTTTCTTAAGGCATACTTCAAGGAAAGGTCACGATCCATTTCTCTAAATCAAGGTGCAATTACCCAAAAGCAGAATGGGATTAATTGTCACCCTGACATCCTCGAGCCTCCAGGAGGGCGAAAACGGCCTCCCCAGGCTCCAGAGAACCTCTGGAGGCCGGAAACAGGCCTGTTTCCGGACTTCCCAAACTTCTAGTAGGCCCGTTTTCCGCCGTCCCCGAGCCTCCACGCACACCCTGCACTTACCTGCATCCAAAATGGGCTGTGTGGGGACTCCTGGAAGGGGCAGGGTGGGGTGGGCGGGGCCAGCCAGGAGTGGGATTTGGGGGTTCTCCGAACTGCACAGAATCTTAGCTAGAGGTTCTCCCGAACCCCTGCGAAGCCCCAGCAGCCCACCCCTGGGTCTAACCATCTAGTAGTCCCTTGCTGTGTATATACTGTATGGTGGGTTATAAGGAATTTAGTTTAGTTATTCAAATATACATGGTCATCGATTTATGATCATTTGTTTAATGACAATTAACCAGTGAGCTCCCGTTCCTTGTCCCAGCTTCTGCCAACCTAGCAGTTCGAAAGCAGGTAAAAAATGCAAGTAGAAAAATAGGGACCACCTTTGGTGGGAAGGGAACAGCGTTCCGTGGGCCTTTGGCATTGAGTCTTGCCGGCCACATGACCACGGAGATGTCTTCGGACAGCACTGGCTCTTCAGCTTTGAAACGGAGATGAGCACCGCCCCCTAGAGTCGGGAACCTTTAGCTTTAACACATTCAATCTAGCTACAAAAATGTCCTACTGCATTCTCTGATTATGGAAAATAAATCGAATTGGGCTTGGCATCCTAAGCCATAAAAGGGCTGGCCTTGAACTTTTCTGCAAAAAACGTTTTGCCTGTATTGTTTTCCACGTTATGTAGGAAAAATACAAAAAAAGCGAAACAAAGACCAAAAGAAAAAGCAATGACAACAGTTACTACTGTTGTAAAGACAAAATGTCTGAGGATCAAGCAAGCCAACCGTATTGCAGATTAGAAGAGAAAGGTTTCTCAGCGTCAAGCAAATTTCTGCCAAGTAACAAATTGTGGGCTTGCATAGTGCTTGGGATTAAGGAACACGGTGGCTCTGTGGCTAAGATGCTGAGCTTGTCGATCGAAAGGTCAGCAGTTCAGCGGTTCGAATCCCTAGTGCTGTGTAATGGGGGTGAGCTCCCATCACTTGTCTCAGCTTCTGCCAGTTCGAAAGCACGTAAAAAATGCAAGTAGAAAAATAGGGACCACCTTTGGTGGGAAGGGAACAGGGTTCATGCCGGCCACATGACCACGGAGACGTCTTCGGACAGTGTTGGCTCTTCAGCTTTGAAACAGAGATGAGCAGCACCCCCTAGAGTCAGGAACGACTAGCACATATGTGCAAGGGGAACCTTTACCTTTACCTATAGTGCTTGGGAAGAAAGCGTAGAACGTAGTGCCCATAGATTGTGACTAAAGTGCACATGTGAAAAAGTCTTTATGGAAAACATATCACGTGTGTCCCAAATTAATGTTGAGGTGTGCAGTTGAAATCAACTGTATGTATGTATGTATGTATGTATGTAAGTATTTTTAGTTTTCAAACTTTCTTTCTGGCAGGATAATGATTCTAACTCTCTCCTTGGTGGAAATGTGGTTGGCATCTCAGTGGGCAACATGCCTGTCCATGGATTGCCCGAAGAAGAACGGATCTCTATCACCTTTTGGCACCACCTCCTTCCGGTAGGTCTGAAATATCTTCTCCCCATCTCCCGGAGGCTTACTGGTGGGCCAGAAGAGATCTCCCATCAAGATTTTCAGTGGGCTGCTTTGAAAGGCTGTGAATGAATCTCATGTGAAGATGAGGAAGCTCTTGAGAACTTAGTGGTAGAATAAATGTCTATGGAGATTCTCCATCATCCAGATCACGGTTGTCCCAAACAATTTTCAAGGGGCAACTGGACTTTCTGGGGGGGGGGGGGGTTGGAAGACATTTCATCATCCAAGAAGCCGAGCTGAAGAAGCTTATTGGAGGAGAAGCGAAACGTCTTCAAAGAAAAACCAGAAAGTCCAGTTGCCTCTTGAGAAAAGCACTTTTGGGACATAGTGGTAGGATAGACTAAGCCAAAGATTACTCCGTGAGCCATTTATCAAGCAAGGATTCTCCACTTCTTAATCTCTACATGGGACTGGAGCAGGGGTGAAATGCTCCTGGTTCGGACCAGATCACCCGATCCAGTAGCGATGGAGGCGGGTGGTTTGGAGAACCGGTAGCAAAAATCCCTCCCCACCTCCATGCCCAGCTGAGCTGCGCAATCATCAGAGGCTTTTTATTTCATTTTTTAAAGCATTTTTTCTACAACCTCTTTGGCTGAAAAAATGCGTTTAAAAGTAAAAAAAACAAAACCCTCTGCTGATCAGGCAAGTCAGCTGGGATTCTCAGAGGCTTTTTTAAAAAAAGAAAAGCCTCTGCCGATCAGGCAAGTCAGCTGGGATCGTCAGAGGCTTTTAAAAGCATTTTTTACAACCTCTTTGGCTGAAAAAATGCTTTTAAAAGTAAAAAAAAAAAAACCCTCTGCCGATCAGGCAAGTCAGCTGGGATCGTCAGAGGCTTTAAAAAAAAAGAAAAGCCTCTGCCGATCAGCTGGGATCAGAGGCTTTTAAAAGCATTTTTTTACAACCTTTTTGGCCGAAGAGGTTATAGAAAAAATGTTTTTAAAAGTAATAAAAAAAAAAATTGGCCACGCCCACTCAGTCATATTACCCCCCCACACACACACACACCAAGCCACGCCCACAGAACCGGTAATAACAAATTTTACATTTCACCACTGGACTGGAGGTCCAACACATTCACAAAAGGAAGTAGATAAATATGTTCATGATATCCAGTGAAATGTGTGAATTAGCTTTGCTCCTAAAATGAATTTCTGGTGTGACTTCAGTGGGAGTCACTGATGTGAAAGGGAAATAGGCAGGGATGAAATCCACTTACTTTCGCTACCGGTTCGCAAATGTGTGTGCGCACGCCTCCTCCATGTATGCACAGAGCCTTCTGCGCATGTGCAGAGGGTCAAAAACGGGACATGATGACATCCGGGTGGGTGGGCGGAGCCTCCCACCACCGGTGCTACCAGTTTGCCCGAGCCAGATAGAACTGGCTGCATTTTCACCACTAGATAGAGGTAACCTGGTATAGAGATATGAGCCAGCAGCGTGCTTCAGCTGCTAAAAAGCCACTGCAGTTCTGAGCTGCATCAACAGAGAGATAATTTCAAGATCATGAGAAGTGATTGTACCATTTTATGCCTCATTAGTGAGGCCACGCTTGGAATATTGCATCCAGTTTTGGTCATCATGATACAAAAAAAAAAAAAGATGTTGAGAGACTCCAGAGAAGAGCAATAAAAACGATAAGAGGTCTGGAGGCTAAATTGTCTGATGAACAGTTGATGGAAATAGATGCAGTATGTTTAATCTATTGAAGAGAAGAATTAGGAGGGACATGAGAGCCGTCTTCCAGGACTTGAAGAGCTATCACAGAAAAGATGGGATTGACTTCTTCTCCAAAGCACCAGAGGGTAGTAATTGGTGGAAGCTTATTAAAGAAATAAGGAGAAATTTCCTGACAGTGAGAACAATTTATCAATGAAGGAGCCTCCTGAAGTTGTGGATGCTCCATACTGGAGGGTTTTTGTTTTTTAAAAAAGACTGGGCAGCCATTTGTCTGGGGTGGTATAAGGTTGGACTAGAAGACCTCCAAGGTCCCTTCCAGTCAGGGGTAAAATGCTCCCAGTTCGGACTGGATCGCCCGATCCGGTAGCAATGGCGGTGGGTGGTTCGGAGAACCAGTAGCAAAAATCCCTGGCCCCCCCACCATGCCCAGCTGAGCCGCACTATCATCAGAGGCTTTTTTTTTTTTAACTTTTAAAAGCATTTTTTCTTCAACCTCTTCCGACAAAAAAATGTTCTTAAAAGTAAAAAGAAAAAGGCTCTGATGATCGCGCGGCTCAGCTGGGTTCGTCAGAGGCTTTTCAAAGCATTTTTTCCTGCAACCTCTTGGCCAAAGATGTGGTAAAAAAAAATGCTTTGAAAAGTCTCTGACGATCCCAGCTGAGTTGCCTGATCGCCGGAGGCTTTTCAAAGCACTGGAAAAAATGCTTTTAAATGTAAAAAAAAGAGCCTCTGATGATCTTGCAGCTCAGCTGGGATCGTCAGAGGCTTTTCAAAGCATTTTTTTCTGCAACCTCTGGGCCAAAGAGGTGGTAAAAAAAAATGCTTTGAAAAGTCTCTGACAATCCCAGCTGAGTTGCCTGATCACCAGAGGCTTTTCAAATCATTAGAAAAAATGTTTTTAAAAGAAAAAAAAAGGCTCTGATGATCACGCGGCTCAGCTGGGATCGTCAGAGGCTTTTCAAAGCATTTTTTCCTGCAACCTCTTGGCCAAAGAGGTGGTAAAAAAAATGCTTTGAAAAGTCTCTGATGATCCTAGCTGAGTTGCCTGATCGCCAGAGGCTTTTCAAAGCATTAGAAAAAATGCTTTTAAAAGTAAAAAAAAAAGCCTCTGATGATCGCGCGGCTCAGCTGGGATCATCAAAGGCTTTTCAAAGCATTTTTTTCCTGCAACCTCTTGGCCAAAGAGGTGGTAAAAAAAATGCTTTGAAAAGTCTCTGATGATCCCAGCTGAGTTGCCTGATCGGCAGAGGCTTTTCAAAGCATTAGAAAAAATGCTTTGAAAAGTTTTTTTTAAAAAAAGTTGGCCACGCCCACCCAGTCACATTACCCCCCAAGCCACGCCCATAGAACCGGTAGTAACAAATTTTACATTTCACCCCCTGGTTGGACTAGAAGACCTCCAAGGACCCTTCCAGCTCTATGATTCAATACCAAGTGTTCAGTTCAGAAACACAAAGATAGAACTTTGTTTTCCTGATTACGGATGGAGTTGCTTGACTAACTAATCCCTGGCCTCCGGCCCAGAAATCATAGAAAACATTTCTTACACAATGGTGCATGGTAGAATTACACCTGATATTTAGTATATTTTCCCCACCGGTATATTCTAGGATTTTGTTCACAATGCAAATCGAAAGACTATTCTTTAAATTCGTTCAGCCCTTGGGAAATTGGTTCCTTTGTACACTTATACGTAACTACAGCTCAAAATAAAACAGTGCATCACTCTTAGGAAAACAACATGCAAATATGTGGTTACAAGCAGACAGCTTTTTTAAGCAGCGGTCAACTAGCAGCTATGATAGAGAAATGTAGAATGTTCATTTGTCATCAGAAATAACTTGTTTCTTCCTTTTGTTTTCTGAATACACTTTGGCTTCTTTCCAATTTTTTTGACTTTTCCTTGATAGCTTTCAAATTGAACAATTATTTTAGATCAATAGGGCTCCCAAGGGAAAAAGAGATAAATAATCACATTTCCCTGTGGCTATTTTGCTTGTGCCATGTGCTGCGTTCACTATTTGAGTGATGCGGTGGCCTAGAGGTGGAGCTCTTGCCTCACAATCAGGAGGCTGCGAGTTCGATCCTAGGTAGAGGCAGATATTTCTCTCTCTGGGCACAATGAGGATATATCTGCTGAAAAAAACTCCTCATTGGCGACAGGAAGGGCATCCGGCCAGTAAATTATGATTTTATTGTACTTGTTTCTTAACTTGTGTTCGCCGCCCTGAGTCCTTCGGGAGAATGGCAGCATAGAAATACATGTAATAAATAAATAAATAAATAAACACTCAGCTCCATTCAGTTGCCCAGACTTTACCCCGCAAGGGATTATGGGGTCATTAAAAGAGGATGATGATGTGCTGTGTTCACTATTTGGATTTTGGTTTTATTTCAGAGGAATTTGACTCCCACATGTGTGTTCTGGGACGTGGGCTCCAAGGGTAAGTGTCTAAAGAAGTTGGAGTGTGAAACAGAGGTGGGTTTCAGCAGGTTCTGACCAGTTCTGGAGAACCGGTAGCGGAAATTTTGAGTAGTTCGGAGAACTGGTAGTAAAAATTCTGACTGGCCCCCCACCCCTATCTATTCTCTACCTCCCAAGTCCCAGCTGATCGGGAAGAAATGGGGATTTTGCAGTAACCTTCCCTTGGAGTGGGGTGGGAATGGAGATTCTCCAGTATCCTTCCCCTGCCACGCCCACCAAGCCACGCCTACCTAGCCATGCCACACCCACAGAACCAGTAGTAAAAAAATTTGAAGCCCACCACTAGTGTGAAAATGAAGTTTTGAAAGGCTGCTCTGGGTTTCTCCTTCAGTGATTTCTGCATTGGTTCATTTGTGAAAAATGCAGCTGCGGTTAACAAAGATTAGGCACCAAATAATACGATATCTGGAGAGCCAGGTTGGTGTAATAGTTAAGATTAGAAACGAAGAGATTGTGAGTTTTAGTCCTGACCTGAGCATGAAGCCAGGTGGGTGTTGGAGAGACACCGGCCAAGACAGAGGGAAGAGTCAAACAGGGAATTAGTCTGGAATCCCCACATGAACACAAGAAGGCGAATCGTTTGTGAAATAAAATCTTTTTGATTTCAGCCAGCCACCCTGGCAAATGGAACACATCAGGGTGTGAAATGGTGCAAGAAGAACATCAAATAACCTGCTTTTGTGACCATCTCACCTTCTTTGCGGTACTCATGGTGAGTATCTTGCAGATGTCAGCGTTGCAACGCTGGCATAGAGAGAGCAGAGGAGAGCGAAAGATAAACTCTGAAACTTTTGCCTGCAAAATCCCTTTGAAGCTTGGTTGTCGTGGAAATCAGGGGAGGGGGCACATTCCTGAGAAATGACGAGGAGAAGAAGTCTGAAGAATGACTTGGAAGACAGCCAATGAGAAGCAGAGAGTTGGGGATCGGAAAGGGAGGGATTGGGAGGCAAAAGGTCAGTCTTGTCTGCGTGGAGTCATGATCCGGTGGCTGAGCTCAATTAAAGAAAGATTTCCTTAAAGATTGGCAGTTTGGAAATTCATTTAATTTTGAGATAGCACCGCAGTCTGACAGCAGAACAGGTTGGAAAAAATGGGGGCCCTTCCAGGTTGCGGAAGGTCTACAACAACTGACAATCCAAAGGAATTTAGTCACCGATGGTGTTGTAATTTGACACAGTCTGATGGATCTCGGTCCTGAGCTCCTCTGTAGAATCACTGAAAGATTTCTTCTGATCTTTTCTCACCTCTTGTGCTTCCTAAACCACTTCCTTCCTTTCTTCTGCAGGTGTCGTCTCCAGAGATAGACCACATCCACTATGAGTACCTGACTATTGTAACTTACGTCGGTTGCATCATTTCAGCTCTAGCTTCGTTCTTCACCATCTTCTTTTTCCTTTGTTCGAAGTAGGTTGGGATGGAGTGGGGAATTCATGCAACATATCAATGGGAAGGTCAGAGGCCGGGATAGAGGTCTGTGGGAGGTGGGAGTCTGTGAGCATTGGAAGGATGGATGTTTTATGAGCTGGACGGAGGTTGATGACCTGTGACTGTCCAGTCTTTTGGACTTCAGTTTCCATGAGGTCCAACCAGCATGGCCAACAGCAATGGACTATGTGAATGGCCTGCAGAACATCTGGAGGGGGAAGCCAGTTAGATAACTCAGGAATCAGCTCTTGGGGATCAAACCCTTTCCTACAACAGGTTTTAAGACACTTCATGACTGCAGCTTGGAGTCTCATACAACCAAGAAGAGAAGTACAATGCTCTTTGGACTTCAGTTTCCATGAGCCTCAACCAACATGGCCAACAGCATGTCAGAACTCCAGGCAGAACAACAGGGAGGCTGTCAGACCTGGCTCAAACTTGGTCCCTTAGGAAAGAACCACTCTCGACTCCCATTTGTAGAGAAAAAAAAATCTTGTACTAAACGCCAAGTGGTTACAGCAATGCATAGCCAGAATTAAAGTTTGAGTGTGAAAATCTGTAGGTTAACTTCCCCCTTCCCCAAGCCACCCTCCCTCCCCATCTCCCCATTGTCCAGTCACATTTAGAGAAGATGTTTTGGTAATAGTCCCTGTCATGGTTGGTTAGATGGATAGGTGCTGCATTCCACTCCCAGGACCACGGGCTTGAGATGTCTCCAGATGCCACAACTATCACTTCTGGTTTCCCATGTCTTGCTTGAGATCCTTTCCCTAACTCCCCCCCCCCACCAGTTCCTAACCCCAATAACGTAGGGCAGACTGGCATCTAAGCTAGGGGTGAAATGCTCCCGGTTTGGACCGGATCGCCCGATCCAGTAGCGATGGTGGCGGGTGGTTCGGAGAACCGGTAGCAAAAATCCCTGGCCCCCCCCCCCCTCCCCAGCTGACCCAAACGATCCTCAGACGCTTTTTTTTTTTTTTACCGTTAAAAGCATTTTTTCTACAACTTCTTCGGCCGAAAAAAATGCTTTTAAAAGTAAAAAAAAAAAGCCTCTGACGATCAGGCAACTCAGCTGGGATCATCAGAGAGACTTTTAAAGCATTTTTTTCCTGCAACTTCTCCAGCAGAAGAGGTGGTTTAAAAAAATGCTTTGAAAAGGCTCTGACGATCCCAGCTGTGTTGCCTGATCGGCAGAGGCTTTTCAAAGCATTTTTTTTTTGCATTTGCAGAAAAAATGCTTTGAAAAGTTTTTTTAAAAAAAGTTGACCACGCCCACCCAGTCACATTAAATCCCCACCACCACCAAGCCACGCCCACAAAACCGGTAGTAACAAATTTTACATTTCACCCCTGATCTAAGCGAAGCATAGAAGTGAGCGAAGGATAGCATGTCTGACAGAGGCAGGCTAAATAACTCAGGGAACCAGTTGTTGGAAGAAATATCCATCTGGTTCAGTTCCAAGCTGGGAGAAAGAGACTGGAAACAGGGGGGCTGATTGGAAAGATTTGTTTAATGATGAAGCAGAACCACGTGGGTTCTGGGCAGCTGATCAGATGGAGTTGAGAGTTGGGAGCATTTATCCCTTCTCTTGGGCTTTGCACTTGAGCTTCCTGTTCCTGTGCAAGAACGTGTACTCTATTGGCTGTTGTCCCATGGGGCCATCTACAAATCCTAGGCGTTTGTCTGAGCTAGGTTTGGTAGAAGTTTGAGGGGGATGCAATGAAGGGGCTTGTGTTCTGAAAGGGTCTTGGGTAATTCCTATGGTGGCTTAATGGCTTGGCCGTGAAGGATAATCCCATCATCCTGGAGCTGAAGGTCTTTTGTTTTGTAGATAGGCTGGCCCAGTCTTTCCTAATGGGCACAAAATATCTGCTGGGGCTATTAAGAAAGTGAGGGTTGCTTTAAAAAAAAACAAACATGTTTCTCCATTTCTCCCTTTGGGGAAATTATAATATTCTGCCTCTTTTAAAAAATATTCCTCAAAATATTTCGTTTTTCTAGGACAGTGATGGCTAACCTTTTTGCCATCGCGTGCCGGGGGGAGGGCGTCGGAGTGGTGGTGGTCATGTGTGCACGTGCCCACACCCATAATTCTATGCACCCCGCCCACATAACGCGCATGACCTCCCCACTCCCACCACTCCTGGCACGTGATGGCCCTGTAGGCCCGTTTTCCTCTCTCACCTGGCTCCAGAGCCTCTCTAGGAGTCTGAGGAGGGCAAAAACGGCCTTCCCCACCACCCCTGGAGGCCCTCCAGAGGCCAGAAACGGCCCGTTTGCCAAGTTCCAGTGGGACTGATATGGCTACGCGTGCCACCTGTGGCATGTATGTCATAGGTTCACCATCACGGTTCTAGGAGAAGGGTGGGTACTAACTTTCTACAAAGTCTTGGGGATGAAACCCTTTCGTACAACAGGTTCTCAGACTTTCCACGGCTGCAGCTCTGAGCTTCATACAACCAAGAAAAGAAGCCTGATGCTCTTCCTTCTTCACAGGAAAAAGCAGAGAGACCACATCGTCTATGTCCACATGAATCTCCTCTGGGCCATCTTTCTCCTCGACATGAGCTTCCTCATCGCGGTGCCCCTGGCTCCTACCGGAGGGGACGCGGCCTGCAAAGCTGGCGGGATGTTCTTGCACTTTGCCATGCTAGCGTGCTTGACTTGGATGGCCATTGAGGGGTACAGTCTCTACCGGCTGGTGGTCGAAGTCTTCAACTCCTACGTCAAGCATTTGCTCCTCAAGCTTTGCTTGGTGGGCTGGGGTGAGTGGCAGAAGCTTTGGGGGAAGAAACCTCTAGTTATCTAGAACTTCAGAGGTTATGACCAGCTCTTTGGAACATGAAGCAGACAGTGAGAGGAAGAAGGTGGGCACAGCCACAGAAGATGCAAAAGCTTCCATTCAGACTCGCTTCTGCTGTGAATTCAGGAAGTGGCTTTAGATGAGCTGGGTTCTCACAGCCAACCCCCTGGGATGTAGACGCAAGAAGAACAAAGTGCAAGAAAGGACCATATCATGGCAGCCTTTAAATCAGGGGTCTCCAACCTTAGCAACTTTAAGACTTGTGGACTTCAACTCCCAGAATTCCTCAGCCAGCAAAGTTGCCAATCTTGGCAACTTTAATACCTGTGGACTTTAACTCCCAGAATTCCTCAGCAAGCTGAGGAACTCTGGGAGTTGAAGTCCACAAGTCTTAAAGTTGCCAAGTTTGGAGACCCCTGATTTAAATGGAGGGCATCATGTTTGATTGTAATGTATTAGACATTTTCCCATTTTTGGGGACTTCATCCTCAAGATGCTTTTTTTCAAGAGGCAACTGGACTTTCTGGTTTTTCTTTGAAGACCTTTCGCTTCTCAGAACCAAAGAAGCTTCTTGGATGAGAAGTGAAACGTCTTCAAAGAAAAACCAGGAAGTCCAGTTGCCTCTTGAAAAAAAAAAGCATCTTTGGGACAACCATGACCCGAAGGACTGAGAATCTCCATAGGCTTCTTCATGTTCTTAAGAAAATGTTATGCTTTTTAAAATCTCTTCCCTTATTGTCAGAATGAATTGCTCTTTTTCGATGAACAAGTGTGATTAAATCGCATCATTTAAAACGAAAACAAAATGCACAGGTACAGTTATATGTGGTACCTCGCTCAATAGTAGTAACTGTGAGAGGGATCTTGGAGTCCTAGTGGACAACCATTTAGATATGAGCCAGCCGTGTGCAGCAGCTGCCAAAAAAGCCAACACAGTTCTAGGCGTCATAAATAGAGGGATAGAATCAAGATCATGGGAAGTGTTAATATCACTTCATAATGCCTTGGTAAGGCCACACTTGGAATACGGCACCCGGTTTTGGTCGCCACGATGTAAAAAAAGATGTGGAGACTCTAGAAAGGGTGCAGAGAAAAGCAACAAAGAGGATTAGGGAACTGGAGGCTAAAACATATGAAGAGTGATTGCAAGAACTGGCTATGTCTATTTTAATGAAAAGAAGGACTAGGGGAGACATGATAGCAGGGTTCCAATATCTCAGTGGTTGCCACAAAGAAGAGGGAGTCAAGCTATTCTCCAAAGTACCTGAAGGCAGGACTAGAAGCTCTAGTTTTAGGTTCTCTGATTCCTTTTTTAACTGGATATTTCTTTATTCAGTGTGTCACTCGGGAAGAGAGTAGGAGGGAAATATACACTGGACAATATGGAAATAGTTTAAATCAATGGAAAACGTAAAACTTTCTGAGTGAGCACTAGTGGAAGAAGCACTAATGTGGGTTGTTCTCCTCTGCAGGTCTTCCCATATTCATCGTGTGTCTAATTTTTGTGATCGACCAGTCCCACTATGGCCCTTTCTCTTTTAAGATCTACGAGACCGCCGGTGAATACACCAATTCAACCATGTAAGTTCTTGGCATGTAGAAAAAGAGCGCCTCCTACTGTCCATTCAGAAAGGTGCATTTCTCCTTGAGGATTGAACAGCCCTAGAAGCTGACACAATACAGGTAGTCCTTGACTTATGACTGAAACTGGAACTAGAACTAGAAAGAACCTTGATAGTACAGTGGTTTAGTGCACCCTGTCATTAACACAGCTGCCTGCAATTTCTGCTGGTTCGAATCTCTCCAAGGCTCAAGGTTGACTCAGCCTTCCATCCTTTCTAAGGTAGGTGAAATGAGGACCCAGTTTGTGGGGGCAATAAGCTGACTTTGTATAAATATACAAAAGAATGAAAGCTATTGCTTAACGCATTGTAAGCCGCCCTGAGTCTCCGGAGAAGGGCGGCATATAAATCAAATTAAAAAAAAAAAAATTCCATTGCTAAGTAGGCACTTGTTAATTGAGTCACGCCTGATTTTATGACCTTCCCCCCCCTGCCCTGTTCAGCAAATCACTGCAGTTAAGCGAATCGCATAGAGGTAGTCCTCGACTTACGACTATAACTGAGCCCAAAATTTCTGTTGATAAATGAGAGTTAAGGGAGGTTTTGCCCCATTTTATGAACTTTCTGTCCACAGTTGTTAAGTGAATCCCTTCAGTTGTTAAGTTAGACACATGGTTTGTTAAGGATATTTTTGAATTTCACCTGAAGTTGTGGCTTATAAAGCAGAGTACCATAAGAGTTTTACGCACAGAAACATTTTGAGAGTAATTGTGAATAACATACAGACAAACTGGGTTTTATATATTTTACTTTTAGGGAAAAGCAAAATCATAGTCCTTTAACAATCCAAGTCTTAGCCATAGAAAGTGCAATATAAGAGCAATCCAGGGATATAAAATCTTCTTACCAGTTTGTAGAAAAATACAAGGAACAATCAGGAACAATACAAGGAACAAATACACTCAGCTCCATTCAGTTGCCACAACTCCACCTCCCATGCAAGGTATTATGGGGTCATTAAAAGACAAAAAAGCCCCCCCCCCCAAATAAATGAACTGTTGTAACTCGAGGACTACCTGTAAGTCATTAAGCAAGTCTGGCTTCCCCCATTAACTTTGCTTGTTGGAACTTGACTGGGAAGGTCACTAATGGTGATCACATGACTGTGTGGTGGCATAACTCATAAATACATGCCAGCTGTCAAGTGCACAATCTTTGATCCTATGACTGGGGGGATGTGACTTTTGTAAGTGTGAGAAGTGGTCCTAAGTCACTTTTTTTAAGTACACGGTGTTTTTTTTTGGAATCGTTGCTAAACGAATGGTTGTATGTTGAGGATGCGGGGATGAGTGTAGGCCACAAAGAGGATGGGATACATCGCAGTTATGATTGGTACCGGAGTGTCCTGAAAAATCCTGTTTTTTGTCCAAGATAGTATAAGCCCTTCTCATGAGATGTATGTTCCAGAGGGAAAGTGGCCTCCAATTTAAAAAAAAGTCTTTATCCTTTAAATTCAGTACAGTATCGCCAACTCTAGCATTAAAATCCCCAGAAATAATTAAACCATGCGTTGATGTAACATGTCAACTAAAGACTCTTCCAGGTTATCCCACTTTACCTGTTGTCTGGGTGGCATGTGTAAATGTTCACACAGATTAACATTCTCTCTTTAGGTTTTGGGTTAAATATTTGAATTTCACCTATATCATAATTTTCTAGATCAGTTTCTTCTAATCTCACATCATGATTGTGCTTCATTGGTGGGTGGGTGGGTGGCTGGTGGCTGGCTGGCAGGATGGTAGGATGGATGGATGGATGGATGGATGGATGGATGGATGGATGGATGGATGGATGGATGAATGGATGGATGGATGGTGGGATGGATGGATGGATGGATGGATGGTGGGATGGATGGTAGGATGGATGGATGGATGGATGGATGGATGGATGGATGGATGGATGGTAGGTAGGATGGATGGATGGATGGATGGATGATTGGATGGATGGTAGGATGGATGGATGGATGGATGGATGGATGGATGGATGGATGGATGGATGGATGGTAGGATGGATGGATGGATGGATGGTGGGATGGATGGATGGATGGATGGATGCTCCATCATTGGAAATTTTCAAGAAAAGATTGGACAACATTTGTCCAGGATAGTATAAGCTCTTGTGCAGTAGATTGGACTAGAAGACCTTCAAGGTCTCTTCCAGTCCTGGGATTCTATGATTCTATCAAGATGTATTGTGACTAGACTCATTAAGCCCTTGCTTAGCATGGGCCATCTTTTGATCCTACGTTGCTTATGATAAAACACCTGTAGCCAGGTAATGCTAGAACATCATTTCCATCAATCCAGTTTCTTGGAGAACGAGGGAATCAAGGAATGAGCAGAGACCACAAAGAGGGTGGGACACATCACATTCATGATTGGCCCTGGAGCATCCTGGAAATTCCTGTTTTGGGGGAAGGTGTCAGCTTAAAGAAAATTTCCCAGCCTATTTGAAAGCTCACATTCCAGTTTTCATGCACCTTCCAGCTAGTTAAATAGTGTCTAGACTTAACCTTTCTGTGTTTTTCTCTTCTTCTCCTCCAGCTGTTGGATTACCAAAAAGGAGATCAACAATTTCCTGAATTTGGGCTATTTAAGCCTGGTGCTTTTCTTCAACAGCATCATGCTGGCCACCATGGTGTATGAGATTCTCAAGCTGAGACATCGAGAGCATCACTGGGGATATGTGGTAATGCTCCTGGGTCTGAGCTGTGTCCTGGGCATCCCGTGGGGGCTGGTCTTCTTTGCGTTCGCTTCTGGGACCTTCAAGCTGGTGGCCGTGTATCTTTTCACCATCATCAACTCTCTCCAAGGTCAGTGAGTATTCCTGCTCCCCTTACTCTTGAGGTCTGCCACCTTATCAGTTGGCTGGATTTTCACGCAACACAAGAGAGAGTTGCATTTTGGCTCTGGGACTTCATCTTTTCAATTCAATCTGAGCTTGTGAAAGTGATGGGACTTCTCTTCACTAGACTGACCATGCCCAGTTCCTGCAATTGTTCATTGTATGTTTTACCCTCTACCATAATCATCTTGGTTGCTCTTCTCTGTGCTCTTTCTAGACCAGGGGTCAGCAACCTGAAGCTCTGGAGCCACATGTGGTTCTTTCACCCCTCTGCTGCGGCTCCCTGTCACTCATAATATCACTCACAGCTGCCAATGTGTGACACTTGTCGGCACGCGATTTATTGAGCTTTTCAATCCCCATAGGCCAACCATGGATAAATCCAAGAAAAGAAAAGTTTCAGAAGAAAACAGAATGTTTAATTCAACTACATATGCTAGTTTTGTGGCCGCTCAAGAAATAGTCAGGCACGGGAAGGGTTTTGTGGCTCCCGGTGTTTTCTTTTCTGCGGGAAACGGGTCCAAATGGCTCTTTGAGTGTTTAAGGTTGCAGACCCCTGGAATTAGATTCATCCCTCTGCAGAAATTGGTAGTGGTGGCGTTGTGGGAAACCAAGAAATTTCCAATCAAATATTTGCTGGTTGTGCTCCCTTAATTGCATTCATTCTGAGTCAACATTGAATGACAGCCTGATTTGTCTATATACCTACCATACCATTCATTTTGGAGTTTTCTAGGATAAAGTAGAATTTCAGTTTTTTTTAGAATAACAGAGTTGGAAGGGACCTTGGAGGTCTTCTAGTTCAACCCCTTGCTTAGGCAGGAAACCCTACACCACTTCAGACAAATGGTTGTCCAACATCTGTTTTCTTTTCTGCAAGAAACGGGTCCAAATGGCTCTTTGAGTGTTTAAGGTTGCAGACCCGGGTTCTAGACTCTAGAATCTAGAGTCTCAACATCTTTTTTATAGTGTGGTGACAAATGCAAAGAATGGTCATCACCTCTGAATTCCAGTCCTTCTCACACCTTTGATCATCCACAACAGACAGATCTGATGGTGAAAAGACTTCAACACTGCTGCATTTCAACCTTTCAAGGGAAACCAAACTTAGGAAACCTCTACAAAAAAAGTTGCTGAGACTCTAGAAAGAGTGCAGAGAAGACCAACAAAGATGGATGATATAGACTGGAGGTTAAAATATATGAAGGACAGTTGCAGGAACTGGGCATGTCTAATCTAATGAAGAGAAGGGCTGGGGTGACTTGATAGTCTTCCAATATTCTTCCACAAAGAAGACGGGTCAACCTATTCTTCAAAGCACCTAAAGAAACAATGGATGGAAAGTAATGAAGGAAAGGAGCAACCTAGAACTAAGAAGAAATTTCCTGATAGTGAGCGCAATTAATCAGTGGAATGTCTTGCCTCCAGAAATTATGGGTGCTCCATCACTGGAGGCTTTGAAGAAGAGAATAGATAGCCCCTTGTCTGGAATGTTATAGGGCAGTAATGGCTAACCTTTTGGCCATTGCGTGCCAAAAGCAGGGGGTTGCCCTCGCGCGTGCCCACACCCATAATTCTATGCGCCCTGCCCCCCCCCCCATGCGCGGGCCCCCCCCCCCCCGCTTTAGGCATGTGATGGCCCGGTAGGCCCGTTTTTCACCCTCCCCAGGCTCCAGAGACTTTCTAGGAGCCTGGGGAGGGCGAAAATGGCCTTCCCAACCCCCCGGAGGCCCTCTGGAGGCTGGAAATGGCCTCTTTCCTGACTTCCAGTGGGCCCAGAAGGCCTGAAAATCAGCTAGCGGAGCTGAGCTCGCGTGCCCACCAATATGGCTCCACGTGCCACCTGTGGCACGCGTGCCATAGGTTCGCCATCACGGTTATAGGGTCTCCTGCTTGTGCAGAGGGTTGGACTAGAAGACCTCCAAGGTCCCTTCCAACTCTGATAATCTGTTATCCGTTACTCTCCAGGCCTTTGATCATCTTAATTGTTCTTCTCTGAAGAACAATAGACAACTATTCTTTGTCTATTGTCTTCTTTTATTATAAGGTTAGAGTAATAAAATCTTGCACTTCCACCTCCCTCCCCCTTTTTTAATGTGAACTAAGGAGGTTCCTATCTGAGAACCCGGTTCCTATCTGCCCCGGATTCAAATTTCTTTATCTATCTGTTTCTTTGGCTGCAGCTCTTCCTCCTTTCCTCAAGGTTATTCATACAGTACAACATTACATTGCAGTTCTATCCGTGTGTCCGAATTCCTCACTCCCTTCCAGGAACTGCTTAACGTCTGTGATCTTCTGTTTTCTCAGATTCCATTTCTGCCCCGGACTCAGATTTCTTTTTATCTATCTGTTGCCTTGGCTGCAGCTCTTCCTCCTTCCTCCTTTCTTCAAGGGTATTCCTACAGTACAACATTACACTGCAGTCAGTGGTGGAATTCAAAAATTTTTACTACCGATTCTGCGGGCGTAGCTTGGTGGGCGTGGTGTGGCTTGGTGGGCGTGGCAGGGGAAGGATACTGCAAAATCTCCATTCCCTCCCCACTCCTGGGGGAATGATAGTGCAAAATCCCCATTCCCTCCCCATTGCTTGGGCCAGCCAGAGGTGGTATTTGCCAGTTCTCCGAACTACTCAAAATTTCTGCTACGGGTTCTGCAGAATCTGTCAGAACCTGCTGAATTTCACCCCTGACTGCAGTTCTATCCATGTATTTGAATTCCTCACTCCCTTCAAGGAACTGCTTAACATCTGTGATCTCCTCCTGTTTCTCCAGGCTTCTTCATCTTCCTTTGGTACTTGGCCAAAGTGTTGCAGTCTCGCAGGTCGAATTCCATGCAATGCACGACTTCCAACAGCTTGAAGTTCCAGTCCAGCAGCACCAGCATCTGACCTTGTCCTGGCCAAGGGGACTTTGGATATGAAACGTTCATAGGAGGATTTTCCTGGAAACTTCTTTGGTGGACTTGGGTGACTTCATACCTCTGAGTAGCTTAGAGACGACACTGATCTGTTTTCCTTCAACATTTGTACGGCTCTTTTTTGTAATGTAAATATTTTTTTTTTTAAATTCCTCTGGTGTAAAAAGTTTATGAGAATACATTGAAATTTAAACTATGTATATTAAAGGCAAATTTTATTAGTGCGGATGTGATTACATCTGGATAAACGTAGCTCAAAATACTAGTTGTTTGTGTTCTGTGCCAGGCTGGTTGTTTGCGAGTGCAAGGCGCCTGGGACTAAACCTGTCCCAGCCTGTTTTTGGAAGCCCCCATGTTTCAGCAAACCTCCCACTAACAAAATGCAGTTTAGTGGTCAGAAAAGTAATGTTGTGGCAGAGGTGGGTTTCAGCAGGTTCTGACCAGTTCTGGAGAACCGGTAGCGGAAATTTTGAGTAGTTCAGAGAACTGGTAGTAAAAATTCTGACTGGCCCCGCCCCCATCTATTCTCTGCCTCCCAAGTCCCAGCTGATCGGGAGGAAATGGGGATTTTGCAGCATCCTTCCCCTGGATTGGGGCAAGAATGGAGATTTTACAGTATCCTTCCCCTGCCACACCCACCAAGCCACGGCCAAAGAACCGGTAGTAAAAATTTTTGAAACCCACCACTGTGTTGTGGCTTGTTGGCCACCGGCCCCTCCAGCAGCCGAATCAGAGGCGGAGGAGGAGTGGGAGTTGGGGTCAGCATCAAGGCAATCTGAGAGCTCCGAGGGGGAAGAGGGAATGGAGCTGGCAGAGAGAGAGAGAGAGAGAGAGAGAGAGAGAGAGATAAAGAGAGAGAGAGAGAGAGAGGATAGATAGAAAGAGAGAGAGAGGATAGATAGAGAGAAAGAGAGAGAGAAAGAGAGGATAGATAGATAGATAGAGAGATGATAGATAGAGAAAGAGAGAGAGAGAGGATAGATAGAGATAAAGAGAGAGAGAGAGAGAGAGAAGAGAGAGAAAGAGAGAGAGAGAGAGAGAGGGGTAGAGCCTGGGCCGTCTGTCAGCCCTCAGATGGAGGGTCAACAGCCCCCAGGTCTGGAGGTGGCTGATGAGGAAGAGGAGGAACAGCTGGGTCCAGTGCCTGACACGTGGATGCGCAGAAGGCAGAGGAGAGGAGAGCAGTGGAAATATGTGGGCTGATCCTCGGGACGGAAGAGCTACCGCTGCTAGCGAAGCCCCACCCTAGCTCCGGGGATCAAAGGCAGGGGGCGGAGATGAATAGGTTTGTCAGACAACGATTCATCTGCCATCCGGATGGACTTGTTAGCCTGCGTTGAGAGAGAAACTTTTTGCTGGCGCTCCTAATAAAGGAATCTTTGAGAACTTCAGAGGGTTTGTCGTGTTTGGGGAGCTGGGTCAGAACAAGTAAGCTCCTGCACTTAGCCACGAAAAGCCAATTTCCTGGTTGTGAGAGCAATTAATCAATGGAACAGCTCCTCTCCCAGAGTTGTGGGTGCTCCATCACTGGAGGTTTTCAAGAAAAGATCGGACAAGATAGTATAAGGACTCCTGCCTTGGGCAAGGGGTTAGACTACAAGACCTCCAGGGTCCCTTCCAGTTCTCAGATTCTATGATCTGGCCCTCTGCCTCTCCTCTTTTCTTCTGGGGCCCGTTCACAAAACAATACAGCAGTTTTCTTTCGAAAGCTTACCTAAGAAATGTTGATGCAAGAGAAGACCACAAATGACCTTCCTCCTTTGTCTCTTGGGTAAAATACAAAACAAAAAACCCACACACACACAACATGAAATAAAGGCAGCGTCTGTCTCTGGGTCTCATACATGCTCCAGAAGGGCAACAGTCATCATTCATTTAGCCATTTATTGTCAGGCCTGGGGGAGCAGTGGCTAGAATGCAGTCCTGGAGGCTAACTCTGCCCGCAGTCTGAGGTTCAACTTGACTGGTTCAAGGTTGACTCAGCCTTCCATCTTTCTGAGATTGCTAAAAAGAGGACCCAGATTGTTTGGGGGGCAAGAGGCTGACTCTGTAAACCACCCAGAAGTGCTGGAAAGTCGGATCAACCGAAGAGCAGCAATAAATAAGGACTAATCTTGGACACCTGGCAAATGTGGCACATCCCTCTAGAGGGCGCTAAAAGACCACTCAATGCACTTAGCGGAAATGGCGAAAATTTCAGCATATTTGAAGGACTATACAGAAGAAAGATACATATCAGAATGGAGAAGATGGATTGATTATATTCAAAATAAGTATCAGACAAGAAAATATCAAATAGCTTATGAATGAATGTTAAACTTTATTTTAGAAGTATCATGTTATCCATAGTGGAGTTAAGGTTTGCGGGGGGAGGAATAGGTAGTTTAAGAATAGTTAGGCTAATTTAGCTTATGATTGTTAATTGAAATACCCTGTATTTTGCTCTGGGAAGTCTGGGTGGGGGGAGGGTGGGAAAAGGGTGGGGGGAATATTGAGGGGGGGGGAAATTTTCTTTGTAAAACTTTTCAATTTAAAAAAAAAAAGATCACCCAATGCAAATTGGCTGCTGTTGCACATAAAATTGTCTTTATTGGATGCAGCCAAAGACAAACCTATTTTAATGTAGACTGCGGACATCACTGGATGGAATTGGAAGCAGAATTGAGAGAGTAAGGTGCAGGGGTGAAATGCTCCTGGTTCGGACCGGATCGCCCAATCCGGTAGCGATGGTGGCGGGTGGTTCAGAGAACCGGTAGCAAAAATCTCTGCCCCCACCCCACCACCACCATGCCCAGCTGAGCTGCAGGATCATCAGAGGCTTTTTAAAAACTTTTAAAAGCATTTTTTCTACAACCTCTTCTGATGAAAAATGTTTTTAAAAGTAAAAAAAAAAGCCTCTGATGAATGCGCGGCTCAGCTGGGATCGTCAGAGGCTTTTCAAAGCATTTTTTCCTGCAACCTCTTGGCCGAAGAGGTGGTAAAAAAAATACTTGGAAAAGACTCTGGCGATCCCAGCTGAGTTGCCTGATCGGCAGAGGCTTTTCAAGGCATTAGAAAAAATGCTTTGAAAAGTTTTTTTTTTAAAAAAGTTGGCCACGCCCACCCAGTCACATTACCCCCCCCAAGCCACGCCCACAGAACCAGTAGTAACCAATTTTACATTTCACCCCTGGTAAGGTGCTAAATTAGAAAAAAACAACCACTTGCTTCAGAGTTTAAAACAGTTTCCCAAAGTTGCTGACTGTATTTCTTAACTGAGAAAAAGAGAGAAGAAATGTTAGTAGAGAAATTGTCCTCTGTTCTGCAAATGAGCTGCTCCTGCAGTCTCTAGTACAGTTCATCTTCGACTTATGACTGCATTTCAGCCCAAACTTTCTATTGCTAAGCGAGAGAGTTGTTAAGACAGTGTTGCCACCGTTTTATGACCTTTCTTGCCACAGTTGCTAAGTGAATCGCTGCCGTTATTAAGCGAGTCACACGGTTGTTAAGTGAATTTGGCTTCCCCGTGGACTTTGCTTGTCCGAAGGGGATCCCGTGACCCCGGGATACTCCAACCCGTCATAAATATGAGTCAGCGGCCAAGCGTTTTAATTTGGATCGCATGACCATGAGGCTGATGCGAAGGTCGTAAGTAGGGAAAATGGTCACTTTTGTAACTTCGAATGGTCACTAAATGAATGGTTTTTAAGTCGAGGACTACCTGTAATGTAACCAGGCAGGATGCCTCGTTTAAAAAGACTCTTAAATGACAGTCACTTATCTGAAATAGTATAGATCAGTGATGGCCAACCTTTTTGCCATCGTGTGCCAAAAGCGTGGGGAGCATGGGGGATTGTGCGTGTGCGTGCCCACACCCATAATTCAATGCCCCACCACACCCCGCACCCCCGCGCATGCGCACGCGACCCACCCGTGCTACCGCTTTTGGCACATGACGGTAAAAAGGTTAACGGTGGGCCCAGTAGACCCATTTTTTGCCCTCCCCAGACTCCAGAGGCTTCCTTGGAGCCTGGGGAGGGTTAAAACAGCCTTCCCCACCCCTGCAGAGGCCCTCCAGAGGCCGGAAATGGCCCATTTCCCGACTTCCAGTGGGCCCAGAAGGCCCAAAAATCAGCTGGCCAGTACGCACTGGAGCTGTGCTAGGGCAACGCTAACATGCCCCCAGATATGGCTCCGCGTGCCACCTTTGGCACCAGTGCCATAGGTTCGTCATCATGGGTTCTCCTGGTTGAGCAGGGGGTTGGACTAGAAGACCTCCAAGGTTCCTTCCAGCTCATTCATTCATTCATTCATTCAGGCTCACATTTGATCCTGATCAGTTTCCACCCTTGTGGCACCTGCAGGGCAAATGTATCCATCCCCAGCCTGAAGGAAACCCTCCTTCAAACAGACCACAATTCCAGGTCTGTCTAATTTTCCTTCCATTCATAATGCTGCCAACAGCACAGAAGGAGGTTGGCACTGCCACATTTTGCAACCTTTTCTTTCCAGTGCTGGAATTCTGCATGGGTTCCCATCCCAAACCTCAACAGGACCGCCTCTGTTTAGCCTGAGAACCCAGACAGGGCCAGTCAGCTGTTTCAAGCAGGGGAATCCCGCAATCGGTTTCACTTAGCTTTTGAAACTGACTAGCCGGGGCTGCCGTTACCAAAATATTCATTCCCAGTTAAGGAGCTCTGTTGGTGTTCAGCACTCCCAGAGTTGATTGAATTGTGTAGCGTAATTGTTTTTCCTTTTTAAAAAATTAGTTTAGAGCCGTGGGTGGTGTAGTGGTTAGAATGAAGTATTGCAGGCTAATTCTGCCCACTGCAGCTGCCAGCAGTTTGGCAGTTCGATCCTGACCGGCTCAAGGTTGAGTCAGCCTTCCATCCTTCCGAGGTGGGTAAAATGAGGACCCAGATTGTTGCGGCAATAGGCTGACTCTGTCAACCGCTTAGAGAGGGCTGGAAAGCACTGTGAAGTGGTATGTGCTATGGCTACTGTCCTCCTTCCCTCCCTCCCTCCCTCCCTCCCTCCCTCCCTCCCTCCCTTCCTTCCTTCCTTCCTTCCTTCCTTCCTTCCTTCCTTCCTTTTCCTTCCTGTTAGAATGCAGTATTGCAGGCTAACTCTGCCCACTGCTAGGAGTTCAATTCTCACAGGCTCAAGAGGTTGACTCAGCCTTCCATCCTTCCGAGGTGGGTAAAATGAGGACCCAGATTGTGGGGGAACAGGCTGACTCTGTAAATCGCTTAGAGAGGGCTGGAAAGCACTGGGAAGTGGTATACTGTATAAGTCTAAGTGCTATTGTTTCCTTCCTTCCTTCCGTCCTTCCTTCCTTCCTTCCTGTTAGAATGCATTATTGTAGGCTGACTCTGCCCACTGCCAGGAGTTTGATTCTCACTGGCTCAAAGTTGACTCAGTCTTCCATCCTTCCGAGGTGGGTAAAATGAGGACCCAGATTGTGGGGGCCAACAGGCTGACTCTGTAAATCGCTTAGAGAGGGCTGGAAAGCACTGTGAAGCAGTATATAAGTCTAAGAGCTATTGCTATTATAATATAAAATACAAAAATACAGAAGAAAATAGTAGGAAAATAAGGGAGGGAGAAGGGAAGGCAAAAGTATAGGAAAAAAGAAAGCAAAAGGATGGACTTCCCACTCTCTTTGGTGCAGTAAAATATACCATCAAACCTCAATTCTTTTTACTTTTACATAGTAGTATAAAGTAGCAATTTCTACAACAACAAACCTATCGATTCATTAAAACCCCAAATCAAAGTTTCATTTCCCCCCCCACCTCAAGCACAAAGTCCAGAAGCTGTTTCCAAGTAGAAACAAACCCAGACCACCCCAACGATGCCCTTGAAGTGATGTCCCGGTGCCTGGAGGCCGTGTGGATCTGGATGGGGAGGAACAGGCTCAGGCTCAACCCATCCAAGACCGAGTGGCTGTGGTTTCCGACGTCCCGATATAGTCAGTTGGTGCCATCACTGACTATTGGGGGCGAATCATTGGCCCCCACGGAGAGGGCGCGCAACTTGGGCGTCCTCCTGGACTCACAGCTGTCTTTAGAAGAGCACTTGACGGCCGTGACCGGGAGGATTTTTCATCAGGTTCGCCTGATTCGCCAGTTGCGTCCCTTTCTGGATCGGGACTCGTTACGCACGGTCACTCATGCCCTCGTCACCTCCCGCCTGGACTATTGTAATGCTCTCTACATGGGGCTCCCCTTGAGGAGCACCCGGAGGCTCCAACTGGCGCAGAGTGCGGCCGCGCGGGTGGTGATGGGAGCGACGTGGTGCTCCCATGTAACGCCTCTCCTGCGCGAGCTGCACTGGCTCCCGGTGGTCTTCCGGGTGCGCTTCAAGGTTTTGGTTACCACCTTTAAAGCGCTCCATGGCTCAGGACCTGGTTATCTACGGGACCGCCTACTACCACCAATAGCCTCCCACTGGCCGGTACGTTCCCATAGAGAGGGGCTCCTCCGGGTGCCGTCGGCCAAACAATGTCGACTGACGGCCCCCAGGGGGAGAGCCTTCTCTGTGGGGGCACCTACTATCTGGAACGAGCTCCCCCCGGAGATACAGAGGATCCCGGATCTGCACACCTTCTGCCACGCTCTAAAGACCTTTTTATTTCACCAGGCGGGCCTGGCCTAATTTTCTCCCTCTTTTTAAATTTTTTTTAATTTTTAATATTTTTTAGTATTTTATATATTCAAATGTTTAAATTTGTTTTAAATTGATTTTAATCTGTCTGGGCCAAAACTATTTAATTTGATTTTATTTCTGCTTTTTAAATTTTGTATGTATGTATTTTATTGTTGGCTGTGCACTGCCCTGAGTCCTTCAGGAGTAGGACATCAAATAAAAGTAAAAAGTAAAGTAAAGTAAAAGTAATTGTGGTTCCCCCTCCCCTTTAATTAAAGCAGCCAATTTTGTCATCTCTGCTAACTCCATCAACTCCATCAGCCATTCCTCCATTGTGGGGATCGAAATGTCCTTCCATTTTTGTGCATAAAGTAATCTTGCTGCCATCAACATATAAGCGCAGCATAATTTGAACAAATGTCGTTGAACTGGATAACGCTCTGAGCTTTAAAATATATTTGGAAGAGAAAATCCATGGTAGGGCTGTAGCAGTCGCAGGTTAGGGGAAGGGAACGCAGACCTCTGCAGGTGTTTCTTCCCAGGGGGAGGGAGAAAACACTGAATGATTCTATGTTAACAGAATAACTTAATAAATACTGTTATTAATATTTATTTAATATTTATTTAATAATATATTATTAAATATAAAAATAACTGTTGAATGAACAGAGTTGGAAGGGACCATGGAGGTCTTCTAGTCCAGCCCCCTGCTCAGGCAGGATAACCCTATACAGATAGTCCTCGACATACAACAGTTCATTTAGTGACTGTTCAAAGATACAACGGCACTGGAAAAATGAGTTATGGGTGTTTTTCACACTTATGACCGTTTCAGCAGCCTCATGATCATGTGATCAAAATTCAGATGCTTGGCAACTGACTCATATTTATGACGGTTGCAATGTCCTGGGGTCACGTGATCCCTTTTTGCGACCTTCTGACAAGCAAAGTCAATGGGGAAATCAGATTCGCTTAACAGCCATGCTACTAATTTAACTGCAGTCATTTCCTTAATAAGTATGGCAAGTAGGAGCCTGAGTGGCATAGGAGGCTAATGCCTCCTACTAAGGCAGCATTTAACATCCAGCTGCCTGCAATTACTGCGAGTTCAATTCTCACCAGGCTCAAGGTTGACTCAGCCTTCCATCCTTCCGAGGTAGGTAAAATGAGGACCCAGATTGTGGGGGTAATAAGATGACTTTGTATAAATATACAAAAAGTATGAAGGCTATTGCTTAACGCATTGTAAGCCGCTCTGAGTCTCCAGAGAAGGGCGGCATATAAATAAATAAATAATAAAAAAAAAGATGTAGCAAGATGAGTCGCAGTGGCACAGTGGTGAGAGTGCAGTACTGCAGGCTACTTCTGCTGATCACCGGCTGCCAGCAGTTTGGCAGTTCGAATCTCGCCAGGCTCAAGGTCGACTCAGCCTTCCATCCTTTCTAAGGTAGGTAAAATGAGGACCCAGATTGTGGGGGCAATACGGCATATATATATCTATATATCTATATACCTATATATCTCTATCTCTATCTCTATCTCTATCTCTATCTCTATCTCTCTATCTCTCTCTCTATCTCTCTCTCTATCTCTCTCTCTCTCTCTCTATCTATCTATCTATCTATCTATCTATCTATCTATCTATAAAGTAAGGTTGTAAAACGGGACAAAACTCACTTAAATAACTGCCTCGCTTATCAACAGAAATTTGGGGCTCCATTGAGGTCGTTAAGCCAAGGACTACCTATACCATTGCAGACAAACGGTGGTCCACTCTCTTCTTAAAAACGTCCACAACTTCTGGAGAAGGCCAGTCGTTCCACCGACGAATTGTTCTTATTCTATCTACAGGCTTAAGAATAAGCTTTGCTTACCACGGAATTTCATCCTACCCCGTCATCGTTCTCAAAAAAGATTCTTCGGTATCGGTGACTGAGTTTTTATTCTTGCCCAAGCCAAAAAAAAAAAAAGGGAAGGAAGGGGGGAAAGAAGAGGAAGGAGGGAAGGAGTTTGCAGAAGGAGAATTAGCCTCAAACACACCAAGCAACGGCCGAGCGAGCCAAGGCTAAAGTCTCTGGTGGTTGCAACGGCGGGGGCGGCCGGCGGCACCCACGAACTTTCCCCATCCTCAGCCCAATTTCAAGACGCGCATCTTGGATGCCCTTTTGCGCCCGCCCCGATCCTCATCCCCTTGAGCCCCCCACGTCCTGCCACCCACGGAGAACCGGATTCCACTCGCGGGAAGGCGGTGCGAAGAGACGCCTCTCCCCCACGCCTCCCACAGCTCCCCCGGTGACCGTCCTCACGTGGGCCACGAAGGGGGAAAAAAAAAAACCCGCCTGGATCGAGCGCAGATCAAACCTCCGCTGATCGTCGCTTGAGTTCTTAGCTTGCGCTTAAGAAGAGGAAAGCGCAGCAGAGGAAAAGCGCCGCCGGCCGGCAGAGGAAAAGTTGCAGGTAAACTGTTGCGGGGCTTCGCCCCAAGACTCCTTGCCTCGAAGTTGCGACTGTCCCACCTGGGCGACCCCAACACGCGGCTGCACTGGAGGAGGGGGACTTAGCTGGAGGGTCTGGGGGAAATTCAAGCGAGCCGGAGTCGGTTTCCGACCTTCTTTTCTGGCAAGGTGAGGGGCCAGAAACCGGTTGGCAATCAGGCAGTTTTACCTTTGGGGATTCGGGGGTCTTCCCTCCGGACCCCTGGATTCCAGAATAACACAGATATGAAGGGACTTTGGAGGTAGAGGTAGAATGAATGAGCTGGAAGGGACTTCAGAGGTCTTCTAGTCCAGCCTTCTTCGCAAGCAGGAAAACCTATACCAATTCAGACAAGTAGCTGTCCAGTCTCTTCTTAAAATCCTCCACAACTTCTGGTGGCCAGCTGTTCCGCTGGTTAATTGTCCTCACTGTTAGGAAGTCTCTCTTTAATTCCAGGATGCTTCTCTTTAGTTTCCATCCATTGTTTCTTGTCTTGCATTCTGGTGCTTTGGAGAATAATATTCAAGGTGTTGGTTCTCATCTTCAAAGCGCTCCATGGTTTAGGACCCGGTTACTTACGAGACCACCTTCTGCCTCCGATAACCTCCCACCGGCCAACACACTCCCACAGAGAGGGCCTCCTCAGGGTGCTGTCTGTCAGGCAATGTCGGCTGGCGACCCCCCGGGGAAGAGCCTTCTCTGTGGGGGCACCTGCCCTCTGGAATGAGCTACCCGACTAATCCCGGACCTCCGGACCTTCCGCTGGGCCCTGAAGACTTTTTTATTTCCGCAAGCCGGGCTGGGTTAAAAAAATTTTAATTGGGGAATTTTATGGGTAAGGGGTTTTAAATTGGAGAAGCCAAAGATAATTTAATTTCGTTTTAATGTATTTTAATATTTGTATTGTGTGTTTTTAATTCTGGCTGTTCACCGCCCCGAGTCCTTCGGGAGAGGGGGCGGTATAAAAATTTAATAAATAAATAAATAAATAAATAAATAAATAAATAAATAAATAAATAAAATTTGATAATAATGGCCCTGGTGGCTCAGCAGACTAAAGCACTGTGATTAACACCAGCTGCCTGCAATTACTGCAAGTTCAAATCTCGCCAGGCTCAAGGTTGACTCAGCCTTCCATCTTTTCTAAGGTAGGTTAAATGAGGACCCAGTTTGTGGGGGCAATAAGCTGACTTTGTATAAATATACAAAAGGATGAAGGCTATTGCTTAACGCATTGTAAGCTGCCCTGAGTCTCCGGAGAAGGGCGGCATATAAATCAAATAAATATATATATATAATAATAATAAATAATAATTTGAGACCCCCCTCTTCTTTGTGGCAGCCCCTCAACTACTGGAATACTGTTCTCATGTTCTTCTTTTCTTTTAGACTAGGGAAACTCAAATCCTGCAGCTGTTCTTGGTATGTTTTAGTCTCCAGGCCTTTGATCATCTTAGTTGCTCTTCTTTGAACTTTTTCCAAACTCTCAACATCTTTTTTTTTTTTTTTTAATATGGTGACCTAAATTGGTTGCAGTATTCCAGGTGTGGTCTTACTAGGGTTTTATAAAGCGGCACTAAGACTTCAGATCTTCTAGTCCAATTCCTTGCATAAACAGGATATCGTTCTGGACAAACGTCTGTCCAATCTCTTCTTAAAAACTTCCAGTGTTGGAGCATTCACAACTTCTGAAGATAAGCCGTTACATTGGTTAATTGTTCTCACTGTTAAGAAATTTCTCCTTCGTTCTAGGTTTGCTCTCTCCTTAACAAGCTTCCATCCATTGCTTCTTGTCCTGCCTTCTGGTGCTTTGGAGAATAGCTTGACTCCCTCTTCTTTGGGGCAGCCCCTCAAATATTGGAAAACTGCTATCCTGTCTCCCCTGGTCCTTCTCTTCACTAGACTAGCCAGGCGCAGTTCCTGCAACCGTTCATCGTATGTTTTAGCCTCCAGTCCCCTAATCATCCTTGGTTGCTCTTCTCCGCACTTTTTCCAGAGTCTCCACATCTGTTTTATATCGTGGCGACCAAAACTGGGTGCAATATTCCATTATATAGGGTATAGGGTTTCCTGCTTGAGTAGTGGGTTGGACTAGAAGACCTCCAAGGTCCCTTCGAACTCTGTTATTCTTGCCATGTCACTTGGCTGGCTGGTTCACATCCGGTGTGCAACAGGGAACTATTTTGAGATGTCTTTTTTCAAGAACTAATCCATTATTTGGGGTTTCTCACCCTAGGTTTGTGGAAGGGAGGGCTAAGCCTTGATAGTACAGTGGTCTATGCACCCTGTTATTAACACAGCTGCCTGCAATTTACTGCTGGTTCGAATCTCTCCAAGGCTCAAGGTTGACTCAGCCTTCCATCCTTTCTAAGGTAGGTGAAATGAGGACCCAGTTTGTGGGGGCAATAAGCTGACTTTGTATAAAATATACAAAAGAATGAAGGCTATTGCTTAACGCACTGTAAGCCGCCCTGAGTCTCCGGAGAAGGGCAGCATATAAATTGAACCAATAATATATATATATTATTAATATATTATTGGTTCAATTTATATATATAAGAGCTGAGTGCTAAATTTCATTCTATTGTTTTTAACCCACTGTATTCAGCCAGAGGTGTCTGCGGGGATGAAAATGACCGTGGCCACAACTATGGGACTGAAGCGCCATATGTTATGGGCATCAGGTTAAAAAGGGGTGAACTTCACTCACGTGCTTGGGGCTGTCATTTTGACTTCCTGACACCCCTGCTCCATGCTGGATACCCCAGCAGTAACTCATCCAGATGTTCCTGAGTGCCATCGCTGCCTTGTTTAGCATTTTAGCTGCAGGAAGTCCTCAACTTATGACCACAGAATCAGAATTTCCATTGCTAAGCAAGGCAGCTGTTGAGTTGCGCCTGATTTTATAAACTTTTTGCCACTGCCGTTAAGCAAATCATTGCAGTTGTTAAGTGAGTGATGCAGTTGTTAAGTGAATCTGGCTTCTCCCCCCACCCCCCCAACCCCTTGGCTTTGCTTGGCTGGGAAGGTCACAAATGGAGATCATGTGTCCCTGGGATGCTGCAACCATCATAAATACGTGACAGTTGCCAAGCAACTCAATTTTGATCGTGTGACCGTAAGGATGCTGTAATGGTCATAAGTGCGAGGACTGGTTGTAGGTCACTTTTCCCCCCACCATAACTTTGAATGGTCGCTAAATGAATGGTTGTAAGTCAGGGACTGCTCATGACATAGAATCCGGAAAGGCAGTTAGATGACTTTGGGCTGGTCCCTCCCTCTCTCTCTCAACCCAACCTACCTCACAAGGTTGTTGTGGGGAAAATAGGAGAAGGAGGCACCATTGTCTGTGTTCGTTGCCTTGAGTTAAAATAATAAAGGCAGGGAATGAATGAATGAATGAATGAATGAATGAATGAATGAATGAATGAATGATGGAGATTCTGGTTGCCCTGTGCAGAGGTTTGGATTTGATAGTCTCAAGGATCCTGGTCAATTTGTGAGACCCACAACAGCAGGCAACAAAGCAAAGACAGACAGCACACCAGAGAGGAGAGAAACCAATTTTGTGGTATACATCAGGGGTCTCCAACCTTTGCAACTTTAAGACTTGTGGACTTCAACTCCCAGAATTCCTCAGCCAGCAAAGTTGCCAAGGTTGGAGACCCCCTGGTATATACATGATGTACAATGACAATAAAGGCTTTGAACATTGAAACCAGAGTGTTGAAAAGAAATTGGTCTACATTGGGGGAGGAGAGTGAACGTGGAATGAAAGAGGAATTGAAAAAACTGAAGGACTTCAGACAGACTGAATATAGAAACTAAGAACTCCAGCAAAGTTCGCCAAAAAAGGAGAGTGAAAGTTCAGAAATGAGAAACATAAAAGAGACAGGGTGAGGAATAGAGGATAGAAGAATAAAATAGAAGAAGTGAAACAGATTATCTTCTGGGTCAGGGGTCACCAACCTTTTGGACCTCAGGGACCACTAAATTCATAATTTTAAATCCTGCGGACCACTAATATGATCTGCCTAATGACCGGCTGGGTGGGTGTGACCAGGTGGTCATGTGACTGAGAGGGTGTGGCCAACTCGATGTCACTCATGTCAAGGGGTGCCTCGCCCCTCCCCTCCCCTCCCAGCCACTCCTCGCCTCCCCAGGCTCCTTAGGGCCCCCAAAGGAAGCAGTTGTTGAAGCTAAGCAGCCACCATGAGAAAGAGTTGTCAAAACAGCTGGCTCAGTTCAAATTGGATCTGGCCGAGAAGGAGGCTCAGCAGAAGCACCTCACTAAGGACTAGGAGCATAGGCTTTCCAAGCAGAGGGAAGACCTGCGGGAGTGCAAGGCCAGGTACCGGCACCTGGAGGCTCAGAGGGCTGAGATGGTCAGCCAGTTCCAGGCCATGATGCAGTCCCACTGGAACGAGGCCCTCCGGCTCTTTGCCACCAGCGGTGCTTCCCTCCAGCCTTCGCCCAAAGCCCCACACCAGGAGGCTGAAGCAGACCCCAAGTTGGAATTTCTGCCCCCCTCCGACCCACACAAGAAGACCCCAAAGGGGAAGACTCTCTGCAGCAACACAAATGTTCATTGCACGTATCTGTCCCGGGGGCCGTAGTTTGAGGACCCCTGATTTAGTGCAATATAAAAAATGTGAATATTTTTTCTGTGGACCACCAAAATTTTCTCGTGGACCACCAGTGGTCCACGGACCACCAGTTGGTGACCGCTGTTCTGGGTAACCAACTCTTACGTTATGGTGGTAGAGAAGTGGCTGAAACTGACAAGTACTATACTGTGCTGTGCTGCTCGCTCACACACAGACATAAAGGTAGTTTAGTGGGCTTATTAATGTTCCCCAGCAATTCCCTTCACCAAACCCCCAGAATTGTCCCAATGAAGTCCAGCCACAAGCAGACCGATGCTAATTCACAGAGCAATGGCCAAGGAGTCTGCAAGGCACTTGAAAATTTCCCAAAGAAGA